ATGCGTGTAAAAGTAAATTGGTAGCACCATGGGAGAAAACCACGTTACCAACCATTTTATCAAAATATAATTTGAATCAGATTTATAATGATGACGATTTTGGCTTGTTTTATCGGCTATAACCAAATAAATCTTTACATTTTAAAAATGAAAAATGTGTCTATGGGAAACATAGCTAACTACGTTTTACAGGATTGGCATCCGCTAATGCATTAGGAAAAAAATTGCTTATGCTTGTTATTGGCAAAGCTAAATTGCCTAGATGCTTTAAATAATGTACAGCATTTGCCCTGCTGTTTTTGCAGTCAGAAGAAAAGTTGGATGTATGGCACACTATTCGACGAATGGGTTTGTAAAATGGATTATCAATTTACAAAGGATAGACTTAAAATTGTTTTATTAGTTGATAACTGCCCAGCTCATCTAATCATTGATAATCTCGAATCAATAGAACTAATCTTTTTACCACCAAACACGATTTCGAAGCTCCAGCCGATGGACCAGGTTGTAATTAGGTCACTTAAAGCGCATTATAGATTACTATCTGTTCAAAAATTACTAGATGCAATAGGTAAAAAAAAGCTTTTTCCGGAATTTAATATAATGGGTGCCATGCAAATGCTTGATATTGAAGGTGAAGACTGAAACTATTTGCAATTGTTTTCTTTAAGCTGGAATTTCAGAGAAAATGTGTTTTGACGCCTCGGTAGATGTGGATGATCCTTTTGAGGATCTCAAAGACCAGAGAGAAAAGCTTGCTGTTCATACATCCGAGTTCATCCCTAAAGGAACGACAGCAAAAAATATTGTGTCCATAAATAATTTTGTCAACACTGCCGTGCCGATTATAAATGATGAGGACCCTACATCAGATGTTTTAGGATAAGAAAATTTGAGACTGAGAAAGATGAAGATAGTGATGTAGTTTTTTTGATCGAACCAACTTGCCCACAATCGGGTGATGTGCGTCAAGCCCTGGAAGTACGACGAAGCTACATGATATTCAGTGTCAATAAGGAGTGTATTCATAAATGTATAAATCAAATAAACTTGATTATGGAAAAAGAATTATCAATGAAGCTAATACAAGCAGATATACGTAGCTTCTTTCACTGAATTTTTTTCACACATTTTATAACTATAATATTGTATATTTAATGTTTATACTTTAGCATCAAATAAATAAAAACTGCATAAACTCGAACTAATATCTCATTTCTGTCAAAGTTCGACTTAACGGGACATCGCTTAAATCAAACATTTGTTAATTCAAGCCATTTTCCTTAGTCCCTTGGTAGTTAGAGTTATCAAGAATTAACTGGAGTTTCAAACCAATAAACTTTTCTCATCTCGTTTCAAAAGTGCTATTGTACAAAATTGCTTAATGTTTATGTATATGTAATTGCATATAAATGCGATTCCAAATAAATCATAAGCAAACCTCTTGTCAAAATTATTTTTGGAAAATATTTACATCACAAATTTACGAAAAGATGATTTGTTTAGTTTTGAAATTGTTTTTAAACAAAAGTTTTTGAATAATATTAATTCTTAGATTGATCATAGAATAAAAAACGATTTGAAATATTTAACTAGCTTATGAGTAATAAAAAAAAACAAACAACTTAATTGTAAAAAAGCAAACATAAGACTTTATAATTAATTAATTATGTTAATTATGTTGTGTTATGAACGTTTTAAAAAACAGTTAGGAAGTGTAAATTTAAAAAAAAAAAAGATAGGGTAGGTTAGGGTATAGCATCTTGGTAATACAAGCATACCAAAAGATTTCTAAGATGTAAGAAGAAAAGTTAAAGTTACTTAAAATCAACTTTATTTAGTGATAACAGGAATCAGTATAATTAGCATAGCGGCTCTTATCTAATTAAAACGCTACTAAAATCTTTGTGTTGTTAATATTATCACGTATGAGTAAATCTGTGGCGCGAAAATTTGATGCTAAAATAATTAAATTTAATTTTTTATCAAAAAAAATTCGTCAGCTAGAAGTCCGTTTCATTGTTTTTTGATAAACTATTTATAGAAACATTTAGTTTTGACTTTATTTAAAAATAACATTTTTGTTTAATATGAGCATGCTCAAACTACCTAGTGTTTTTTATTGAAATTAACTATAGTGAAATGAAAAAAGCTAACTTGAAATTTGAAGTCATACTTAAAGTATAAAACTAGGCTTGAGCAAATAGCGAACTTGAACTTGAAGTTTAATTAGAAAACTCGAGTCGATTCGCTAAACCGACCGGTTTCAAGATAGACTTAAAAAGCCAAATTAAAAAAGTTAGAATCTTTTGAGAATGCAAAAAGCGAACTCGAAATTTCAAGTTATACTTCAAATCTGAAGTCTGCCTAAAGTGTTATTTAAAAGATTTAAGTAGTTCTACTTGCAACTATATAAATTTGTATAAATAAAAATTATTGAGTAAAGTTACATTTACTTGCGCTATGTTTCTTCGTTATGCTACAAATCTAAACAAAGCCTGCAACATGATTATAATGTTAAGGAGTTTTGGTTTCTGTAATTTGTAAGACAGAAGACCAAGATTTTTTTTATAAGAAAAAAATCTAGATCTTATGTAATATAAATTAAAAATCAGATTGACTCTCTATCTCTCTTTTGGATAAAAAAACAACCCCACTTGGTCTATTGTTAGTGTTACCACCACTGGAAGAAAAATAACCAAGAAGCATTCCTGTTTTCTCGCATACAATTTGAACAACTTTAAACTTAATATTTTCTGAGCAGTTTTTATTTTACATTTTGTTATTTTGTTTATATTATGTGAAAGCCTCAAGGCGTACAATAAGGTGAACATTTCAGAAATTTTTCTAGTGCTCGTGAAGAATAGCAAAAAAAATCATTTGATTTAACTATGAACGTTTGACATTGCCCATGCCTTTCAGCAACTTTGAAGAAAACTTCCCGGTTTTTCTAAACACAGAGCACATCATTGTAGTATTAATCTATGAAAAAATATAGTATGTCAGGTCATTAGTATCCAGGTCAGGTAATTGGTATCCAGGGATGCGGAATCCCGAATATGATTCCAGATTTAAAAATTGCAAAAAGATTACATATTCCTAAAATTTTGAATCCAGGAGCTCAAAAAATATATAAAAAGTTATGAATTTCTTTTTGGAAAAAAATTAAGATATTTAGGTTTAAGGAATAACTATTTTTGAACCCGGAGTCCTAAGGTAGAACATTGGCAAGGACTATGGAACTCTGTGCTTAAGTTAGTATCCTTAGAAATAAGTTTATTGTAATAAAGAATCATTTAGAGCTAAATCAGCCTTTTTACCATTTTATGAGCAAAAATGATAAATTATATATATATATATATATATATATATATATATATATATATATATATATATATATATATATATATATATATATATATATATATATATATATATATATATATATATATATATATATATATATATATACAGAAAATGATTGAAAAAAAATTTAATTCTATAAACCGGTAATAACAGCCAACGTAAAAAAGTACCCTTTTAAAACCCTCTGCTTAAAAATATGATTAAAAAAAACAACTCAAACAAAAAAGTAAGTTATTTCTTTACGCGCAGTTTCTAGGTATATATTTGAAGTATGTTACTTGAAATTTCCGAATCAAAATGTTTAATGTTTATGAAAATATGGCGCTTGGAGTACTCAAAATTACATAAAAATCTTATTCTGCACAAAATGCAATTTAAATCGTAAATAACAAAAAAAAGATTGCAATTTTTAAATTTTAAAAATCCTATTTGCTTATCATAATATTTCATTAGACCTATCAAATAACATATTATTGAAAAGAGTACAGAATGGTATTTTCATAAACAAGAATAAACGATTTTGACTTCTTTTAAAAACAATGTCTTTTTCTTGCGTAACCACTTTAAAAGCAATAAGTTCCAAATTATTAAATCTTATGAATACTTTTTTTTATTGCAGAAATGTCAACCAACATCTTTAGAGCTTCTGGTCACTGGGAAAAAGTGGAGACCGGAAAAAAGAAGATATTAAAGCCAGAGTCTTTTTCGGACTCCGGATCCCTGTTGTTATCATTTCTGGAGCAGTTCAAGTGATAGGAAAAAGTTCTAAATTTACGCACCAATACACTTAAACAAAGTGCGGAGTAGCGTTTTTATAAACTTTAATATCTAAAAGTAATGCATTATTATTATTACTTGCCTACTTACTGTGTTTATTCGAGTACAAATGCAGTTGTACTTGTCATTAATTTAACAGGACTTGCGTAACAACGCAACTTTAAATTAAGTAAAAACGCAACCTACAAAAAAATTACAATCATTTTTTAAGTTACGTAATTTCTGGGCAATTATAGGCAGTGAAAGTTCATGCCTTAAAGTAGTTTATAAAATAAGAAAGCTTATATTTAATGAATCAGTTGAGTTAATACTTGAAACGTGATAATCAGATATTTCATTCGATTATTGTAGATCTAAATGAAAGAATATGTTTTTACAAAACTTAGTAAACATTTAATTAATTTAAAGCTAAGCAGCTCGTAATAAAAATATTTTGCGACTTTGTATTCTCTTTTACTTGAAAAAATATATTTTTAAAAAATACTTTTGCGTCTTTATATTCTCTCTTACTTAAAAAAATATATTTTTAACTAACATCAGATCAGTAAAGTTGTTGTTAAAAAATAGTTATGATGCAAATTTCAGTTATATATTATTTCAATTTTAAACTTCAATCATCGATTAAATTGAAATGTTATGACGAAAGTCAAAAAAATATTTTGCTATAACCAATATTTATTCGACACAAAATGAATTTACTATTGAAAAGCTAAAAAAAAAAAAAAAGAAAAAAAAAGTTAACTTTATTATACTCTGGGCACTCTGCACACTGCGTATGTGTCAGGAAATATTTATACTATTTATAAATAAATGGTTTAAATCAGAAACAATAATATAAAAAAAAAAAAAATTGATACCTGGACAAGAAACTCTAATATTACATGATAAAGTTTGATAACTTGGTCCGGAACAACCAGCTCCTAATGTACTATTAAAACATTGCCTTGTTTGAGTTTGAATTGGAGACACATTAATATTAGACTGACATGATTCTGAGCAACTACTCCATGTATTCCACGTACCATAAGTACCTGTTTTAAGTAAATTCTAAATAATTTCAAGATTATCTTCACAAAAAAAAATTACCATGACTAATTCCTTATATTTAAGTTTTTTTTTACCTAAACAACCAATTAATATATTGCAAGGTAGTTGCTCAGTTTTTGAAATACCAGGACAACCAAAATAGTTTGGATCCCATGTTGAACAACCGGTGCACAAACGACTTCTAGTCTGATAGGGTGGTGTAACAATATTATTGCAAATACCAGAGCATTCACTCCACAAACTCCATTCTGATATTTTTCCTATTTATAAACATGGTAATATATTAATAAAAATACTAAACAATTAGTTTTAAAAAGTAGAAAAAGAAAACGGTAAAGTAGATATCAAATAAACTCATAACAAATGTACCTGGACAATAAGTTCCAATGTTGCATGCCTGCAAACCTATAGTAGCTTGTCCATTACAATTTCCTCCTAATGTTGCTCCTACACAAACACGAGATCGTTGTTGAGTCGGTAATGTTGATGTTAGTTGACAGGTAGCTGAACATTGTCCCCATTCTCCCCATGAAGATATTACGCCTTAAGTTAAAGAGAAATAAACTGATTTTCAATTTTTATGTATATTTATTTTTTAATATTTTATATATATTTTCACAATTACATATTAGTTACAATTTTTTTCACATTATAGTATAAGCAAAATATACTTCCATTACAAAAGATTTAACCAAAAACTCCTTAAATATATCTAACAAAAACTCCTTAAATATATCTAACAAAAACTCCTTAAATATATCTAACAAAAACTCCTTAAATATATCTAACAAAAACTCCTTAAATATATCTAACAAAAACTCCTTAAATATATCTAACAAGAAAACAGAAAAAAACAACGCTTACTTAAAAAAAAAACAATAAAATAAAAAAAACAAACAAATAAATTAAAAAAAAAAAAAAACAGTTTTTAATATAGGAAGCATTTGTTGAATATTTTATGAAAGGCTTGTTAAGATCTTGTTATCTTGTTTAAAAAACATTTACTTTTCTTTTATTCATTACTACAGAAGTTATGCGAACATGGCTTGATGTAGCATTTAAAGCGACAAAAATAAAAAAAATGCTTAGCAAAAAAAAACAGGCTATAAGGATAGTTTAAAATGTAGATTGTTTCTCACACGCACAAACACTATTTAATGAACTAAATATCCTAAATGTATATAAACTAAACCTCTATCATGTTCTTATTTTCATGTTCAAACTTGATAAAAATGTATTACCACCCTTAATTTATTCAATTTTTGGAAACGAAAATTACATATACCCCAGACACCAAGGATATACTGTTCTGATAATGGCTAACCTATGCCAGCGAATTCTTTAACGGCTCGATAAATTGCCAACTCTGGAAAGCCGTATATGGGTCATTGCCGAGCCTTTATAAAAATGCCTGAGCTGGGTAGCCGCAAAAAAACCATTAATGGTCCAACAAAGATTTGCCAAAGCAGATCAACAGACATTGGGCTGATACTGGCCCATATGTGTTAAAATCAAATCAATAATGATGTAAACAAAGCATTTGCGTTTACAGCGCAGATTTTTATTCATTCATCTTGAAAGTCATTTTTTTCACTTTTCATACAAATCTCAAAACTTTATTGTTTACAAAAAATTGCGTACGTTATAATTTCTAAAACAATTTTAAAAAAATATAATTTATAAAATAAAATTTATGTTTTTTAAATAATTTCTAAATAAATTATTGCAATTAATTCTTTTGTTAAACAAATAAAGCTTCGTACGGAATGTTTTGTTACACTACAAATAACATAATGATCATAATATATTAACATTGTTTCCATGTAAAATTAACCATTAAATTGGTTTAATGTTTAAATTAATTTTTTTTTCACAAAGCTAAAACTGGTCAAAGAAACTTAAAATCTAAGTTAGTTAAAGAAATATGAAACCTAATTAGTGGTATCTGAAAAATGATTGATACTGATTAAAAAAAAAATATAGAAATGTTGGTTTGATAGCAAAGGAAACTTATAAAATGTATGTATATTATTCCAATTAAACTATAAGTTATAGTTTATTAGGAGTAATACAAAAATAACATTTTCTTTATAAATATAGTATAAGAATGTTATTGTGTTATGCAAAGTTGTTGAAGTCAAAAAAGGGATACCTAAATATTACTATCATATGAAGCACTCGAAACTAAAAGTTACCAAGAATATATATCTAGATTTGAACATTTAAGTGTTTTTAGCAAAATAATTAGAAGAATTCGTTTTGCAGCAGAACTTTGTATAAATATTGGAGCATTATGCCAATTTATTACATCCAAGTCATTAATAGTTCTGTATAGTTATATCACATCATTTCTTGATCTTCTCATTTTTAATGAGGAGAGAAAGGTTTATCAATAAATGTTTACATGATAAATCCTTTAAACATTAAACACAAATTGCTCTATGTTGGAGTTGTTCAATCATAATAACATGTTTCCGTTTATGTAAACTACTAAATGGGGTTCAATAATCAAGGTGAGGTTAAAATAATGATGTTCTATTTATCTATTATATATTATTGCCAAACTTAATAGTAGTGCGCTTTAGAGCTTAGTTGACACGGTACTCTTGGCAGCCATTGCAAGCAAGGTAATGGCAAGAAAGAGTTGCAGCACTTTGTTTTATAAGAAAACGTGAACGAACGCTAATCCAAATATCTAACGTATGTAAACTTTAAACTTAGTAATGTTAAAACATATGTTAAAACATACTAAAACATTTATCAAGTTTTACAGTTTGATTTTACACAATTCACATAAAAATTAGATTGCGTCAAGCTCTCTTTAATTTTGATTTATAACATTTTTTTCCTTAAAAAATCATTAGACTATTTTAAAAATATTCGCTTGAGTATGTGCCAGTGTGGCCGAGTAGATAAGGCACCGAGCCTCTGAACAAGTAAGCCGAGGTTCGATTCCTACCAATGGCGGCTTTTTTTTTTTCGTATAAAATCCACTTATATAACATTATATTCAGGATCGTATGTAATATAAGTAAACTTTTTTAATAATTATTTATTTTGCTCTAACAGTTTTGTTTTGATTTTTTGTAGTTATGTTATTATATTAAAAAAGTTGACTAGATTAAAAAAACACAAAAAATATTGTCACTTTTGAGTGGAAAATTGAAACTTCAACTTTAGATTTGCTCCTCTCTTGATAATTTCTAATTTCTAAAGGTATATCATCTGCTTCTTAGACCTTTAAAAATGATAGTCATAGAAATAGGATTTTATTTAAATTTTTAATTTAAATTGTATCTATTAAAGATATATAAAATACATTTTTATGGGATATATTCTAATAAAGACAAAAGGGGTCATCCATAAAGTTCGTCATCCGAATAGAGAGGGGTTCAAGATAAAAAAGACATAAAAAAACAAGGGGAGGGGGAGTTTTTCAGAAAATGACGTCACCTTATAAATTTTTTATTTTTAATTATAAATTTTTTATAGTTTAATTAACATGAAAAATTATGTAAATATGTGCTTTTAAGAAAATAATGTATGAGAATATTTTTAATTTTATTGTTCAAAGGTGTAACAGCAGATTTAAACACCATTGCAAAATAAAATAGTTATTTTTTTGGGGAGAGGGGTTTAAATTGGGGGTGGGGGCAGGACTTTATGACGTCTTTTTCAAGGGCGTCTAGGAAAAAAGGACAACCAGTGACAAAGGGGGAATGGGGTCAAAGTTTGGCTAAAAAAATGCTGACGTCCTTTATGGATATCCCTAAAACTATTTATTTATTACTATTGTAATAAATACAATCTATTATCCGTGAAAAGGATATGTCTGTACCAGTTTTATATTTTTTAATGCACTTTTATGCAACTTAATAGAAATTAATAAAAAAATGTAAGATAAATGCAAAAGGAAACTTGACGCATAAAGGTTTACTATGCCATAAACTAACGTCAATGCCCAAAATCATTTTGGCATAGCTTTTAGATAAGCGTTTAATATTATTCTTTTAATTCTTAATCATAAGAATTAATTTTTTTTATGACTTTGGTTTAGTGCTTTTAGATCTTCTTAATTTCATTTGTATGGCGTTACGTGCAAGTTTATGTAAGTGTAAACGTCGTTATGTTGAGTTTGCAGGAATTTTTCTAGAATATAGTGTATATCTATATATCTATAAAATGAGAATTCTTTATTTTATTTTCAATTTTATAAATCTTTTTTTCTATATTCTAGTTTATTAGATGTAAATATTTAAGCAAGATAAAAAATTTTACAATTATTACGCAAAGAGGAGGTTTTAAACCCTCCAAATAACACTGATGATAGCGCATTTAACAACTGCGCTATCAATGAAATGCATTTAGCCAAAAAACAAACTTAATTATAAGCTATTTATAAGCTCTACGTATGCGGAAAAGGAGCGCATGTTAAGTTTTTTGCTCTTTAATTTTTTTTTTAGAATAAATTATTTTACTAAATAATATTGAAACAAATAAGGAATAGGTATAGAAATTTTCGGCTAGAAATTGATAGGTAAATTGGTAAAGACCTGTAATTTACGGATCCTAGAATGCTAAGATATATCAGGAAAAGTATAAAAAATTTCCGTTTGGATATACAAAGACCATTATTTTTACAGGGCCGATCTCAGCTAATTTGTATAATTGTCATAAATGTAGTTTTTAATAATGTTATATTTCTTTTATCTAAATATTTCAAGTAGTGTTTGATTTGCCCTAATGTAAAACTTCAAGTTATTTTTTCTCTTTAATTTCATTTTTAAAACGCTTTTATTAAAGGTTATAAAGAATTGCCAATAATGATGCTATTGAGCTGATTTTTGTTTAAACATGTAGCGTATATTTGTATATATTTTGTTTTAGTATGTTGCTCCAAACATTCTGCAACTGTGGTAATAAAATTCCATTCCACAGGTTTGATGCCTTTTCTTATTTTGTTATTTTTTATAAAAAAACTTTTAAGAAAATAATTTTATTTATTAGATTTAATAGTATTGATGTTTTGTTTTTAGAGTTTATTTGTGATGAATAATGTGCCACCACATAAATGTAGCAAACATTAATGAAGCTATGGCAATAAACGTAATGTTGACACAAAAATGCCAAGTCTCAAGTTAAATGGTTCATCTAAATATGGTAAGTTTACAGTTAATCAAATAAGTTATTATTATTTCTGTTTTCAGTGTTGAAGTAAAGAAAAAGTTTTTTCCCTTTATTTTTACTATTAATAATGACTAGATTTACTGTGTTTTATAAAATATTTTATGTGAATAAAAATATTTAGGAAGATTGAGAGACATTTTAATCTATTTATTTTTAATTAATTTTTAATTTTTTGTTTATTCAAAATAATTTTTACAATAAAAGAATGAATAAAATACATACAATAAGAACAATAAGAACGCAGATACCCGCAGAAGGTCGTAAAACCTTGTCATTGAGAACTGGTTGAATAACTTTTAAATAAAAAATTTTTTCAAGATGCCTAAACTAGATATTTTAAGAAAATAAATATCATGAAATGTCAAATCTCAAGACGTGAAAATTTTAATGGAATTTTGGTCGAGAATAATCCAAGTGCCACATGTTTTGATAAACATATTTATAAGTATCCTGCATTTGGTTGTAATTGTAAATTTTCAATGCGATATTCTTTACAGTTTAGTTCACTAAGTTATAGAAAGAAACTTAACTCAAGCCTATGTAACTATGGTTTGTTGTTAACGGATTGAACTTTTTCGTCAATAATAAAAATAATTGTTAATGTAACATGATAACTATGTTGTTTATAAGTTGCGACCATTTTGTATATGTTGTTATTATGTTGTATAAGTATATATGTGATTAATTATTAAGTTGTGCTAATGTTTGTTTTTGTTTTAATAAAGTTAAAACGGATGCAAGCACTAAAGAAGACAAAAACGTTACAAATTGAAGCAGAAATTTATAACGATTGTTGACGATTGGATATGAGTTGTTGTTATGATATGAGTTGTTGGATATGAGTTGTTATGATATGATTTGTTATGATATGTTAGGATATTTGGATTAGGATGTTATATTTGGATTAGGATGTTAGGATATTTGATATGATATGTTAGGATATGAGTTGTTATGATATGATTGTTGGATATGAGTTGTTGTTGACGATTGGATATGAGTTGCAGTAAAACGCTATCGTTGAATGGTTATGAATCAAATCTTTATTTATAATTCTCTTTAAATCAATCTGTATTATAATTGCTTTTTGTTGCGAAAATATATTTTGCCTATATATTAAGCCTATTTTTCAAATTTGTTCATAATAATTAAACTTATTTTAAGGGCAATAAAATGTATTGGACACATGATTATTGACTTAAAGTCAATAATCATGTGTCCAATACATTTTATTGCCCTTAAACTAAAGAAAAATACGCCAAATTTTAACCAAAAATTTACAGTCGATTGTACTAAGAAAAACTTTAAATAATTAAGAAGACGGGGTCTATAAGGAAATTAGAGGGACTTCAAATAGGATGGCTCGATGAAAATCCATAACAATCCCATGCATGACCCAGTTAGTTAACAAAGACAAAATCACGACGATATTATGTAAAAATGGCTAATCGTTGTTCTGCCAATTCTTGTACTACACTGGCTAGCCACCGCTGGTCCATGAAAAGTCTCTAGTGCAAAACGGAGCTTTGCCAGCGTCGGCAGCCAAAGCCGGTCCAGCACGGCAGTCTACACAAGACATAAGCGGGTCCATTACATCCTTGCTGTCTGGGACCCTACTAGATTATCAATATACATTTACATTCAATCTAAAACTTATTATTCCGCCACTAAATTCTCTGTTATAAAGGAACAAAGGAGACAGAGGAACAAAGCTGTGGAACATAATATTAAATAATGAAACTAAAAACTAATTATTCTCAAAACCAATTCAAAGTAAAACTTAACCAATTACTTTATTTAAAAATTATTTAAAAAAAGAATTAAAAAGCTTCTTCAAGTTAGAAATCAATAATTAAAAGTTGATTAATTAATTACTTTAGATTATTAATTTATATGTACATATATTTTTATTTTTTAAATGACAATCTACTTTTTAAGAAATTTATTTTTATTTTTGCGTTATTTATGTAAATCCGACTTTTCTCTCGTTGTAGATTGTTTTAGTTCAAATTTTGATTTATCATGTGAAAAAAAACAATTCTATGTAATTATCTACATTAAGAACAAGATTTTAGTTTTGAAGCTTTGATTTTAAAGAAAATATGTTTTCAGGAAGATTAACTAAAGTGTATTTCGGAATTATTTTATTATATAAATAAGGGTCGCAATAAGAGATAGAGAATTAAAAACTATTTTTTTGGGGGTTAGATAAGTTACCTGATGGTCTTGTGTTAGGCCTATTGATAATTTAACGAAAGTAGTTTTATTTCAATTGTGAAGAAAATAATTGCATTTTGTATTTTAGCATAAAAAGTTTATTATCATAGATGTTAATTTAATAAACGTTTAGAGTCTTTGTTTCTTTAAATATAGGTTTAGCATGTGCATGTTTATTTTTATGATAAATTATTCTAAAAGCATGTTTCTGTCATCGATAGAGAAACATTAATTTTATCTTGTGTGTGCTTATTCATGAAATATTAGTGTATGTAAGACGACTATGTTTAAATGATAAGTAAAGAATTTTCAAGTATTTTTGTGATAAAAAAGATCTAGCTTTGAAAAGAAAAACAAGATTTTTAAATATTTGAGTGTTAATGGCCCTGTTAATAATGACTGTGTTAATAATAAAGTGTTAATAAAAAAATATATGTGGGCTGTTTATGAAACATTTTTGTCTATAATTACACATTGAAATTTAATTGTGTTTGCTCTTTCAATATTTTTGAAATTGATGCTTAGAAAGGAAAGAATTAAAGAAAGTGCATTTTTTTGTTGCTTTGAGTGATATAAAATATACTTAGTTATTTGCACCTTAATAAATTTTTAGCGCTGAACCATGACTTGAGCTTCAACAACTTATAAAAGTCAAAAAGGTCATCGTTAGAAAAAGATACATAAAACAGATTTGTGTCATCTGCAAGCATTATGCAATCAAAATTTGTAGAGGCTTTAGGAACGTAATTAATACATACAATGAATAACAAGGGGGTAACAATTGATCTCTGTAGAACACCACATTTTATTTTTGATAGCTTTGAATTAGAAATATCGTCGGTTATGACACATTGTTGCCTATTATATAAAACATTTAATAAATACAAACTAAATTTAATACAAATTATTTTAAGGCAAGTCTCGGCAAAAAAAAGGCAACGTTCGAGTTTTAGATTGACTTTTTTACTTAAAAAACTGTTTTTTTTTTTTTTTTTTTTTTTGCGACACTTTTATTTGCGTAACAGTGTAACAGTCACAGATTTTTAATATTTGAAATTAAGTTTCAATTAAACTTTGTTTTAATAAAAGTTTTTTACTTGTGTTGCAATTGATTTACTTGTAATACTATCATATATAACAATGGAAATACAAAGTTTAGTGCTACAAGATGTTTTTGCAATATATGAATCAATGATGAAGTAAGAAACAAAATAATTATAAAAAAAGTATAATAAAGCTAGCTACCTGGACAAGAAACTCCAATGCTGCATGATACAGTTAGTGAACTTGGTCCATAACAACCAGCACCTAATGTACTGTTAAAACACTGTCTAGTTTGAGTTCGAAATGGAGGTACAGTAATATTAGACTGGCAGGTTTCTGAGCAATCACTCCAGTCACTCCAAGCACTATAAGTTCCTGTTTGAAATGAAAACAAAGTGACTTTAAGAATAACATCTAAACAAATAATTCGTATTATAATCTCAAATTACCTCAAATTATAATCTCAAATTCGTATCATAATCTCAAATTAATTGAATTTCAATTACCTAAACAACCAACCAATCTATTGCACGGTTGTTGCTCAGTTTTCGAAAAACCAGGACAACCCAAATAGTTTGAGTCCCATAATGAATACTCAATACATGATCTACTTCTAGTTTGAATGGGTGGTGTAACAAGATTATTACAATTATTAGAGCACGCACCCCATGAACTCCAATCTGATATTGTCCCTATATAATAAGCGTGTTACAAGTTATTAAAATGCTGTAAAACTAGCTCTAAAAAACTAAAATATGATATAATGTAGTTAGAATTATAACAAAAATACCTGGACAAAAAATTCCAATATTGCATTTTTGTGATTCTACAGTTGCTTGCTCATTACAATTTCCACCAAGTGTGGCTCCCACGCAATTACGAATTCTTTGTTGAAATGGCAATGTTAATGTTAACTGACATGTAGCTGAACATTGTCCCCATGCTTCCCATGAAGATAATATGCCTTGCGTAAAATGCAAATAACATTAAAACTTGCAATCTAAACTTTTTAACTTACCATAAGATAAATTTAATATAAATTTATCTTAGGGTAAGTTAAGAAATTAATTTAGCCATTAATAATATTTAGTTACTTAATATTATTCCCCTACCTAACGCCAAATTCTTTTGTTAGTCAGAAAAACGACATATTTATTTTGATACTATTTCTAAGAAACTAAAATTCAAGATTACACCATACCAAAAAGTATGCATCAAGAGTTCTGAAGCACCAAACTTCTTATATTTGTTTTAAGGAAAATTATAATCAAATTTTTAAACATCTTATAAAATGAATAATCATTATATTTTTTATATAACAAAAGAAATGATTAAAAAATAATCTATTTAGTTTAATCTGAATCCAAGTTAAAGTTGTTATATAATTTAAATGTTATAATTGTTACTTTGTTGTTATAGTAACCAGATTACACATAAATACAACAAAATTATTATACAAATAACTCCTCAATGGTTTTATAAGAAACAAAAAAAATAAAAAATAAAATAAATAGGAAACGCTACCTGGACAAGAAACTCCGAAGTTACATGATTCAGTTTGAGAACTTGGTCCAAAACAACCTGCTCCCAATGTACTACCAATACACAGTCTAGTTTGAATGTGAAATGGAGGCAAGATAGTGTTAGACTGGCATGATTCTGAGCAACCACTCCATGCACTCCAAGCGCTATAAGTGCCTGTTAAAAGAAAAGCCAAAGTTATTGTCAGAATAACAAGAAAATAAATTATTAATTACTGATACAAAGTAGCATTTTTCATATTAGGTTTCATATTAGGTTTCACCTGAACAACCAACCATTGTATTGCAAGGTAGTTGCTCAGTTTTTGAAATATCAGGACAACCAAAATAGTTGAGATCCCAAGATGAATATCCAACACATATGCGGCTTCTAGTTTGATAAGGTGGTGTAACAAGATTATTACAAACATCAGAACACGCACCCCATGAACTCCAATCTGATATTGTCCCTTTTTAAAAAAATGTAAAATAAAAAACGCTATAAAGTTAGCTCTGAAAAACAAAAATACCTTTTTAATACAGTAAGAAACAACTAATTATTAAAGTAAAAATACCTGGGCAATAAATTCCAATGCTGCATTTTTGTGATTCTATAGTAGCAAGTCCATTACAATTCCCTCCAAATGTGGCTCCAACACAAATACGAGATCGTTGTTGAGTTGGTAATGTTGATGTTAGCTGACAAGTAGCTGAGCATTGTCCCCATCTTTCCCACGAAGTTAAAATGCCTTGAGTAAAACACAAGTATGTTTATCAAATAATATACTTAAAAAATAAATACAATTTAATTCACCCTACCCTAAAGTAAATTAAATATTACATTTAGCAATTTTTATTAACTCAATGCCTTTTCTAATAAAAATTTTTTGCTGGTTAGAAATATGTATTTTTATTATAATAAAACAACTTTGCAATTTGCCATTCTAGTTTACATCATATGAGAATGAATATATTCAAGGTTATACAACAATTCTAGTTTTTTATTTTTATAAAAATAATTTTTATCAACTGTTAGCTTATAAGATGAACCTTTTATATTTTTTATCAATCAAAATAAGCCAAAACTACCCAATTAAAATTTCTTTTTATAACTGTTACATACATGTTATGCTTTTGAAATGAATGAAGGTAAAATTAATAATATGATTATTATAATTATAGCCATTGTCATTATAAATATTGCAATCATATTGTTTTATAACATATATATAATTTTTGTATTTCTTATTTGTTGTAAATACAAAAATTTAAAAAGTCGTCAATAATAAAAAAAACTTATTAATAATTACAAAAAAAATCTATTATATATCGTAGAAATAAAAACAATAAAAAGTTGTATAAAAACAGTACCGGGACAGGAAACTCCAATATTACATGATTCAGTTTTAGAACTGGGTCCTGCACAACCAGCACCCAATGTACTACCTACACACTGCCTAGTTTGAATTTGAAAAGGAAACACACTATCATTAGACTGGCATGACTCAGAGCAACCACTCCATGAACTCCAAGCATCATAAGTTCCTGTTTTGAGTAAAAAGAAAGCAATTTTATTATTAGCATTTAAGTAAGTTATCATTATTTTTATAACAACATATTAATTTTCAAAATCACTAATACCTGAGCAACCAACCAATGTATTGCAAGGTTGTTGCTCAGTTGTTGAAATACCAGGACAACCCAAGTAGTTAGGATCCCATGACGAATACCCAATACACGATCGGCTTCTTGTTTGATAAGGTGGAGTAACAAGATTATTACAAACATCAGAACATGTACCCCATGAACTCCAATCTGATATTGTTCCTATTTGAAAAAATTGTAGCAAATTAAAAAAATATTTTAAAATTATATGATATAGATATGTTAAAATACAGCAGATAAACTAAGTTTTTATTAAAATACCTGGACAAAAAACTCTAAGGCTGCATGTTTGAAATCCTACAGCAGCTTGTCCATTACAATTCCCTCCAAATGTTGCTCCCACACAATTACGAGTTCGTTGTTGAGTAGGTAATGATGATGTTAATTGACAGGTAGCTGAACATTGTCCCCATACTCCCCACGAAGATAATATGCCTTAAATAAAGCACAAACAGCATATATATGGAATAAATACTTGCTTAATAAAGCTAACCTAACTTTTTCTAAGATAAATTTGATATTCTTATTTTTTCAAAGCTAAATGTGTTTCTGATTAAATCTTATTTTGCAGGCCAGAAATGTGTATTTTTAATTGTACACAGCTGCTTGGAAAATTACCAATCAAGGTAGTACCAAACAATTGCGATTTAAGTTTTTTAAGGAAGACTACTTTTTTATTTATTTAAAAATAAATGATATATTTTTTTTATTTTATAAAATCAACCTTTATTACTTTTTTAATAATAATTAAATAAACCAACACTATGATATTAAACTTTGTTGTTTTAATTGTTATTAACTTATTAATGATACATTTATAGTTATAATTATTGTTATATAAAAATCAATATACACAAAAATAATTTTACAAAATATTTGTTTAATAATCATTCTAAAATAATACCTCGAACTAATTTAATCAATAAACGTAGCAAAAATAGAAAATTAGTACCTGGACAAGAAGTTCCATTATTACAAAATGTAGTTTGAGAACTTGGTCCAGAACAACCAACTCCCAATGTACTACCCAAACACTGTCTAGTTTGAGTTTGAAATGGAGGCATATTAGTATTAGACTGACAGGTTTCTGAACAAACACTCCATGCACTCCAAGTACCATAAGTACCTGATTTGATTAAAATTAAAAAGATTTTAAGAATAGCAGTAACAAACTAGTATAATGAGAAAACCTAAATTATAAAAATTATTATTACCTGAACAACCAACCAACGTATTGCAGGGTTGTTGCTCAGTTTTTGAAATACCAGGACAACCGAAATAGTTTGGATCCCATGATGAATAACCAATACATGATCGGCTTCTAGTTTGATAGGGTGGTGTAACAAGATTATTACAAACATCAGAACATGCACCCCACAAACTCCAGTCTGATATTGTTCCTTTTTCAAAAGATTTTAAGATGTTAATAAAAAACTAAATAAATTAGTTTTAAAAAACAGATATACATAACAATACGAGGGCCGATGACACAGGTTACAAACTTGGGGAGAGGGCAAAATTATCAATTTCTAAAAAAGTTCGTTTTATTTTAAAAATTCTAAAAAATAAAATTAAAAAAGACAACTTCCAAAAAAAGTGGAAGGGTCTATTCCACTAACCCCAGGTGGCGTTAGCCATGAGTACAGTTAAAATCAACTAAATTTATAATAAAAATACCAGGGCAATAAACTCCAAAGCTGCATGTTTGTGAGTCTACAGTTGCTTGTCCATTACAATTTCCTTCAAGTGTTGCTCCCACGCAAATACGAGATCGCTGTTGAGTTGGTAATGTTGATGTTAGCTGACAGGTAGCTGAACATTGTCCCCACGGTCCCCATGAAGAAATTATACCTTTAACAATACACAAATAATACACCTGTAACAAAAAACATGTAAATCTATTGCTATTTAACTTACTTTAAAGTATATTTATTATTATACTTATTATTAGCATTTTTCAACAACTGGATGTCCCTCAAAAGCTCCCACGTCTTGTAGGCTGGATTAGAGTATACCTATTGTAATAACACCTCTAGAACTACAACCATCGAAGGCCGAATATGAGTGTATTTATTCTAAAAAAACCACTAATACTATATAGTGCTAGTGGTGTGACTATAAATTTGTGGTAATCTGTAGCCCTATAATATTGTAATAACACAGTAAAAGTGGAAACGCTTTAGAACCTTTGAATACAATCTTCCTTGTATGAAGTCACCTTGTATAGATTTATCAGTATTATTGTATATTTATACAATAATACGACTAATTCTATAGTAGTTGATTTCATACAAAAAACATTGAATTCATAAAATCTAATGCACTTATACTATTTTTTTCAATTTTTTAAAGGTATTAATATTATTTTTTTTTACTTATAAGATGAACACTTATTAAATTTTTTAATCAAATAAATCAAACTAACACTAGACATAAAAACCGTTTTGTAATAATTGTTTCTTAATTATTATATTATTTTTATGTTTGTAATTATAAGCCATATACACATATATATATATATATATATATATACATATATATATATATATATATATATATATATATATATATATATATATATATATATATATATATATATATATATATATATATATATATATATATATATATACATATATATATATATATATATATATATATATATATATATATATATATATATATATATATATATATATATATATATATATATATATATATATATATATATATATATATATATATATATATATATATATATATATATATATATATATATATATATATATATATATATATATATACTTAGCAAACATGGTTTCAGCGGAACGCGATGCGTAAAGCCGCCGCCTGAAAGCCGGTGCTGGCCCTTTGTGATTCCTATGCGGCTTACCGCTGGCAGGTAGCTGATGCAGGACCGGCATGCTATTTTGTGTTGGCTTTCCGACATCGGCTGAAGAGCAATAAAACACCTCGTTGCCGATACGATTTTAATTAGGCATGCTAGCTTTGGTAAGTTTATGACGATACGCTGTAGTTTTGCCAACACAATGCCCGCGGATAACGGTAAGATGTCGTAAAAACACCTTTCAAGCGCCATGAGACTTAGATTGATCGATTTTTATATTTTATATTGTAGTACATAGTCTATGTAAAACAGTAATTAATAAATAAATAGTATAAAAAAAAATCAAATTAGTCTTTTTATTTTTAAGTCTTACAATATAGGTTATATATATAAATTTATATTAAATCTACATCTATTATAGATGTAGATTTAATATAAATTTATATGTATAACCTATATTGTAAGACTTAAAAATAAAAAGACTAATTTGATTTTTTATATATAGTATAGATTCTATACGTTATATTATAAAATATAGTTATAACTATTGCTTATAAATATTAAAAGTTACACGATTTTATACCTATATCTATATTTATAAATTATAAATATAGATATAAATATAATATATTATAATATAATATAAAGTATACTATACTATAGATTATATTATAATATATTATATTTATATCTGTATTTATAATTCATATTTATATCTATATCTATATCTATACTTATATATTATATCTATATCTATACTTAGTATAGATTACTATATAATATATCTATATCTATACTTAGTATAGATATAGATATAAAGTATAGATATACATATAGGTTCAATATATATTTATAAGACTCAAAATTAAAAATACTAACTTTATTCTATTTTAAACATATAACTTTAACAATATTGTTACAGTTATGTAACAGTGCTATAACTTCATATTAGTATAACATTGTTCTTGTTATATTAAAAGTTGCATGACTAGTCATATAACTTTTAATATAACAAGAACAATGTTATACTAATATGAAGGTATATATATATATATACATATATATATATATATATATATATATATATATATATATATATATATATATATATATATATATATATATATATATACATATATACATATATATATATATATATATATATATATATATATATATATATATATATATATATATATATATATATATATATATATATATATATATATATATATATATATATATATATATATATATATATATATATATATATATATATATATATATATATATATATGTATATATATATATATATATATATATATATGTATAACAAAACAACGAAAGATAAAGCTGATGTTGAATATTGCCTAAAAGATCTTACCAATAAATCAAGCAATATTTTACATTCACCAGAAGAAATACAATAATTGTATTTAAAGAGTATATCAGATCGAAAACTTTTAACTGAGAGTGCTATTCCCTCAGGTGCGAATAATATTGATTGTGAAGTGAACTCTGACAGTAATCTAACAATTTCTGATTCCGAATCTTACTCATTAGAGTCATCAGATTCTGAAACAATTGATGATGTTAACAATGAAGAACTAAAATATGATTTGATGCAGTGGGCAGTTAAGTTTGCTATAACCGATGAAGCATTAGCATCTTTGTTAAAATTTTTGGGTAAATTGTTTCCTAAATTGCCAAAGGATCCACGCACTCTACGTCAAAGTCTTTTGTATCTATTACCAATATAACTGGAGGACAGTATTGTCATTTTGGCATTAGACAAGGTATTTTAAGTAATATTTCAAATTTTTTAAAGAAAAAGGGTTGTATATCAATTCAAGTCAACATTGATGATTTACCATTGTTTAAAAGCACCAATGGACAATTTTGGCCAATATTAGGTTTAATAAAAAATGTAGATAAACAATATTCAACACAATAAAATCCCATTTATAATCGGTCTTTTTTATAGTAGGTCTAACCAAAAGACCATAATGAATTTCTAAAAATTTTAGTTAATGAAAGTATTGCTTTATTTGATTCTGGTATTAGTATTAATGGTAAAGTATATAAATTTGCTATATCAGCTTTTATTTATAGTACACCAGCTAGATCATTTATAAACGGAAATAACGGACATAAAGCCTATTAATAAATGTTATGCAATATTTAATGGCATTAATTTGATATCTATTTTTTTTTTAATTTTTAAAAAAATTTCTTTAGTATATATATTACTGATGCTTTTTCTATGTTTTTTGTAGATAATAGCTGTGGCAAGTAAAGGAGGCCAGACTTTAAGGGAGGCTGTCCGGAGAATGTCCTTTGCGTTATTCACTAATAACCTCTGCTGTAAACTTAACTGGTCTGGTATTACCAGAAATGACAACGAAAGTAACTTTGTAAAACAAAGTATAAAAGACTTACACTTGACACAAGTAATTTAACAATTACTTGTGTCTTATTTAGTAATTACTAATCTATTTGTTAATAAATAGTTGATAAATAAATAAAATTTATTTATTAACTATATATAAATAAAAAGTTAATAAATATATAAACAAAACTTGTTAATAAATAGCTTTACAAAATTATATTTTTTGTTTTCCTGCAAGATAGTTAGATAAAAGCTGCTAGATAGCTAGATAAAAGTCTTAAATTAATTTTTAGGAGCTGTAAAAAGAAATCCTGCAAATCCTGTAAAAAAAAATCCTGTAAAAAGAAATCCTGCAATAACTTCAGCAACTGAATCAGATTTTCATTATGAGGTTGTGCGTTTTTTGCGTGGTGCATCAGACCGCAATGACGGACAAAAAGTTAAACAAGACCAAAAAAACAAACAAGCCAAGAAAAAGGTGATGCCTAAATCAAGTTTTCTAATGCCATTAAATAAAGAGGCATTTTTTAATTCAGAAGATGAATAACATTGTTAAATTAAATAAGCATCTTTATTTACAAATTTGTTATCTTTATTTTACAATATTTAATATATTTTTAAATATTTTAATTTTTAAACTCAATAGAGTAAAGTTTTTGTGAAATAAGTATACTGTTTCCATGTTTTTCATATTCATTCCCTTTTACAGTAATCTCTTGTATATGAGATTGTAGATAAATCGTGATATTGAATCTTACCAGAGAATAAAGTAAGAATAATTTTGTTATTTTGATATTATTTGTTTTAATATTATTTTTAAAAAAAATCCAAAACAAAAGTTCTGGAGTCTGTCTACTGCTTGATTTGTTTGATTATATTAAATTTAAATATAACTATAAGCTTTAAAAAATAAAGTTATTGATGGAGAGCTAAATTAACTTGGTATTTAACCGGTGAAGCAGATGAATAAAAATCTAACAAAATTTTTATTTTACAAGCCATTATTTTAAAGGATTGCTTTAACAATTCCGTTCAAATATGCTTAAAATTTAATGTTACATTTATGATTTAATATTATTTCTTTACAGGAAACCGTTTACCTCAACCATAGTTATATTTCATATAATTATGTTGACCTTGATCCAAATATTGACATGGGTATAAGATAGCTGTTTGATTTGCAAACTGGATTTAAATCATATTTTCTTTAAACATATTTTCTTTAAACATATTTATTTGCTATTTATATGCTTTTAAATAATTTTTTAAAAAAAAATATATACATATTTACTGAACCGTTTTATTTCAATCAATTATTTGACTTTTTATATTTTTCAAGGAATTTTTATAGTATATTATATTACGCTATGTTTTTTTTTTGTATGGTGAAAACTATGTTCAATGTGCAAACTATATTTTAGTTTATCAAAATATACTTTTATTGATGTGTTCTGTATTTTTTATATAGCTTTTTTTTAAAGTTATTTCCATAGCTTTTTAATTTAAGCAATGTTTTTGTTGTTTTTATGTTTTAAATTATGCTTAAAAATTAAATTTATATTTATTCAATGTAGATGCACTTAGTATCTGAAGTTATTTGTCAATAACTGGTGA